CCAGGAAGGGGGGGGGGGCTCCCAACTGATGATCTAGGCATCATAATCAACCCTTTCCCAGTTTGACCAGTTCCTTTGTCTGGACCATGACCCGCAATGGTCTTCTCTCTTTGCCTCAGGTCAACGCACACCGAGAAGATGGCGTCAGCCTTGCCAGCAGCCATTCGGGACTGCCCTCCATGCTCCCGGCCCAGAACGCGGACGTGAACCACAAGGCGCAAGACAGCTATAGAGGTACGTCCGCACGCCCCCCTGCCCGCCCCCCTATGGGGCACCCGGTCCGTGGGGCTGCTGTGTCACTCTCTCCCGGGCTTGGCTTTCAGTGCTGTCGGCTGCCTTGGGCCCCGCGGAGATCAAGTCGGAGCACAAGGAGAAAGACGAGAGCGCGCATGACGGGGCTTCTTCGGACGACATGAAGTCCGATGACGAGTCCTCCCAAAAGGATATCAAGATTTCGTCCAGAGGAAGAACGAGGTACGGTGGCAGCTGAGCGGGAACCTGGGGTGGCCGAGAAGACTCCTCCCATGCGTTTGCCATGGGTCCAAGCACCCCAATACTATCAGGGACCCTGTGGGGGAAAGGGGCCAGCTGGGGAATTGGGAAAGCATGCCCATAATTCTCCGTCCTCAACAGGAGGTCTCAGCAAACTGTGGGGCTCCCTATCCCCACCTGCTGCTAATAACTTATTATTATTATTATTATTATTATTATTATTATTATTATTATTATTATTGGGTTGTTGCTGCTTTTTTAGGGCTATATTATTTATTTATGTGTTAATTACAGCTTTTCTCTTCCGCCCTTCTCCTCACCCCATAGCAGGGGACTCAGGGCGGATCACAGTGTACACATATATTGCAAACATTCAATGCCAATCTTTGACATACGAACATATACAGACATACACAGAAGCTGTTTAACTTTTCTGTCGCTTTCCTCGTCCATCTGCAACACTGATGAAGTACTTCTGCATTCCCCGCATGCTTCTCAGCTGGAATGCTTTGCTGGAGTCTTCTTTTATGGACTCATAAATGTCAATTTTGACATACAACATGTACAGATATACACAGAGGCTATTTAACTTTTTCTGTCGCTTTCCTCGTCCATCTGCGACGCTAATGAAGCACTTCCGCATTCCTCGCATGCTTCCCCTCTGGAATGCTTTTGCTGGAGTCTTCTTTACGGCCTCATAAATCAGTTAATTTAGCCTCCCCACACTTTAAGGTGGGACCTAATTTTCCTACCTGACAGATGCAACTGTCTTTCGGGTTGCAAAGGTCGACAACAGGCTACACAATTGGTTGGAAGCCCACTCCAACCTGGGCTGGCTTTTGGTCACAGTGATCTTAATGCAGCTGACACTCAGCCAGCTGTGCCACAATCCCGATGTGGACATCTAATCACCCCTCAACAAAAGATTGCCCCAGGCACTGCCAGGCCATCAAATGCTAATCAAGGTGGTCAGTTGAAACATTCACCCCTAGCTCCAGCAGACAAGAATCCTTTGTCCCACCCTGCTTCGACAATACATTATTTTATTATTATTATTGTTGTTGTTGTTATTATTATTATTATTATTATTATTATTATTATTATTATTTATATATCTGTGGACATCTAATCACCTCTCAACAAAAGATTGCTCCAGGCACTGCCAGGCCATCAAATGCTAATCAAGGTGGTCAGTTGAAACATTCCCACCTAGCTCCAGCAGACAAGAGTCCTTTGTCCCACCCTGGTCATTCCACAGATATATAAACCCTTTTTCCTAGTTCCAACAGACCTCACTACCTCTGAGGATGCTTGCCATAGATGCAGGCGAAACGTCAGGAGAGAATGCCTCTAGACCATGGCCATATAGCCCGAAAAAACCTACAACAACCCAGTGATTCCGGCCATGAAAGCCTTCAACATGCATTATTATTATTATTATTATTATTATTATTATTATTATTTATATATCTGTGTACATCTAATCACCTCTCAACAAAAGATTGCCCCAGGCACTGCCAGGCCATCAAATGCTAATCAAGGTGGTCAGTTGAAACATTCACCCCTAGCTCCAGCAGACAAGAGTCCAACAATCCAGTGATTCCGGCCATGAAAGCCTTTGAGAATACATTATTATTATTATTATTATTATTATTATTATTATTATTATTATTATTATGTTGTTTTGTTGTTGTTGTTGTTGTTGTTGTTGTTGTTGTTATTTATATATAAATCAGGGACATCTAGTCACCTCTCAACAAAAGATTGCCCCAGGCACTGCCAGGCCATCAAATGCTAATCAAGGTGGTCAGTTGAAACGTTCACCCCTAGCTCCAGCAGACAAGAGTCCATTGTCCCACCCTGGTCAACAGATATAGCCTTTCGACAATAATATTATTATTATTATTATTATTATTATTATTATTATTATTATTCCATGAAAGCCTTCGACAATAATTATTATTATTATTATTATTATTATTATTATTATTATTCCGGCCATGAAAGCCTTCGACAATATATTATTATTATTATTATTATTATTATTATTATTCCGGCCATGAAAGCCTTCGACAATAATTATTATTATTATTATTATTATTATTATTATTATTATTCCGGCCATGAAAGCCTTCGACAATATATTATTATTATTATTATTATTATTATTATTATTCCGGCCATGAAAGCCTTCGACAATATTATTATTATTATTATTATTATTATTATTATTATTATTCCGGCCATGAAAGCCTTCGACAATATATTATTATTATTATTATTATTATTATTATTATTCCGGCCATGAAAGCCTTCGACAATATATTATTATTATTATTATTATTATTATTATTATTCCGGCCATGAAAGCCTTCGACAATATATTATTATTATTATTATTATTATTATTATTATTATTATTATTATTATTATAATACATTATTATTATTATTATTATTAATAATAATAATAATAATAATAATAATAATAATAATAATAATAATTGAAGTATTGCCCAGATCTCCTTAGAGCTTGAGTCAATGCACAACAGGGTTCAAACAGAGAGATACAGCACAACACGATCCAAGTGCATTTCCTCAATGTGCCCGCCATGCTCCTCTTTCCACAGCAGCACCAACGAAGACGAGGACCTGAACCCGGAGCAGAAGCTGGAGCGCGAGCGGGAGCGGCGGATGGCCAACAACGCCCGAGAGCGCCTCCGGGTGCGAGACATTAACGAGGCCTTCAAGGAGCTGGGCCGGATGTGCCAGCTGCACCTGAAGAGCGAGAAGCCCCAGACCAAGCTGCTCATCCTCCACCAGGCCGTGGCCGTCATCCTCAGCCTCGAGCAGCAAGTCCGGGGTGAGCCACGGAAAGGGGCCTCTTGGGGGGGGGGGCTGCCTTTGGGGCCCCATTCAAAGAGGAGGGGATGCCTGTCCTACACCTCTGAAATCCTTCCCTGTTTCCTGCATGCAGTACGCTGCCTTTGAGTTGTGGTGGGCAGGACTGTGAGGTGGTCCCATATACATGAGCTCTGCTCTGGGCTTGAAGCACTCTGGGACCCAGGCAGGTCTCCCATGACCTTCTGGCAAGGAAACGAGTCCAAGGTGGGCTAGGAAAAACTACGGTGAGGTGGACCATGTAACTGGTTAAATGAACGAATCCAGAGGGTGATTCTCCCCAAGGCTTCCTCCTCTTCATCCTGGAAAGAAGTGACGAGTGGAGCGCCACAGGAAAGCCTTCTTTGACAAGGTCCCCCCACGACGTTTTGGCAAGGAAACTAGTCCAATGTGGGCCAGGCAAAAGTACGGAGAGGTGGATCTGGAATTGGTTGAATGGACGAACCCAGAGGGTGATTCTCCCCAAGGCTTCCTCCTCTTCATCCTGGAAAGAAGTGACGAGTGGAGTGCCATCAGGAGGGTTCCGTCTGGGCCCGGTCCTGCTCAGGATCTTCATTCATGACTTAGATGAAGGGCAAGAAGGCAGGATCACCAAGTTTGCAGATGGGACCAAATGGGGAGGGAGAGCCAAGACTCCCGAGGACAGGAGCAGGACTCAAAGGGATCTTGACAGATGAGAGAGATGAAGGGCCAAAACTAACACAATGAAGTTCAACAGGGACAAATGGAAGGGACTCCACTTAGGCAGAAGAAACGAAATGCAAAGAGACAGAATGGGGGACGAGGAGGCCTGGCTCAAGAGCAGCACGTGTGGAAAAGATCTTGGAGTCCTTGACAGATTAGAGAGATGATGCGCCAAAACTAACAAAATGAAGTTCAAGAGGGACAAATGCAAGAGACTCCACTTTGGCAGAAAAAACGAAATGCAGAGAGACAGAATGGGGGACGATGAGGCCTTGCTCGAGAGCAGTACGTGTGAAAAGATCTTGGAGTCCTCGTGGACAACAAGTTAAACATGAGCCAGGAATGTGATGTGGCGGCAAAAAAAGCCAATGGGATTTTGGCCTGCATCAATAGGAGCCTAGTGTCTAGATCTAGGGAAGTCATGCTCCCCATGCTCTATTCCGCTTTGGTTAGACCACACCTGGAATATTGTGTCCAATTCTGGGCACCACAATTCAAGAGAGATATTGACAAGCTGGAATGTGTCCAGAGGAGGGCGACTAAAATGATCAAGGGTCTGGAGAACAAGCCCTATGAGGAGCGGCTTAAGGAGCTGGGCATGTTTAGCCTGAAGAAGAGAAGGCTGAGAGGAGATATGATAGCCATGTATAAATATGTGAGAGGAAGCCACAGGGAGGAGGGAGCAGGCTTCCTTTCTGCTTCCCTGGAGACTAGGACGCAAGGGAACAATGGCTTCAAACTACAAGAGAGGAGATTCCATCTGAACATGAGGAAGAACTTCCTGACTGTGAGAGCCGTTCAGCAGTGGAACTCTCTGCCCCGGAGTGTGGTGGAGGCTCCTTCTTTGGAAGCTTTTAAACAGAGGCTGGATGGCCATCTGTCAGGGGTGCTTTGAATGCCATATTCCTGCTTCTTGGCAGAATGGGGTTGGACTGGATGATGGCCCAGGAGGTCTCTCCCAACTTTTGGATTCTAGGATAAGCACGGAGCTCCGTTTGGACTGAGCGCCATGCTTCCGTTGACCCCGGAGTTCTGAGCCGCGACCAGAAGCAGTTTTGTGCCCAGCGTGCATTCTGTCATGTCCATTTGTCGTACTCCTTATGCGCCTTGCTTGATTTGGAAGGGGGGGGGGGGATGTGTCACCATCTGCCCCCTGAAGCAGCCTCTTCCCCCACACCAGCAGCACCCCATCCACCCTCAACCTTGGAAAGTTCTCTCGCCCCCTTTGCGCACACACACTTGCACACACACATCTTCTTCCTCCTCCTTCTCCCCCCCCCCCCCCCTTGGGTTCCTGGCTGGACCCAGCTGTGCCTTGCCCCCCCCCCCCCATTCTCCTCCTCAGCTGGTGCTCTTCCAGGGAGGGCATCTCAATGTCTTGGAAATGCGGAAAGTGTCAACATCAATATCTGCTCAACGGCTGGAATCGTGGCTCAACGTCTCACCCGCGCTCTTGCTTTCATGCCGGCAGCCGGAGCCTCATTTTCACCCGCTTTGCCCATCAGTGAGGGGTGGGGGAGGAGGACCAGAAGGGACAGAATCAAGGGGAATTGAGGGTGTGTGTGTATGCATATATATGTATGTATGCCCCCCCCCTCTGTGTGTGTGTATCTATATAAATAAAAATTTAATGTTCGTTTGTGGGGCTAACATAACCCAAAAACCACTGGGCGAATTGACACCAGATTTGGACACAATACATGTATCAGGACTTAGAATCATAGAATCCTAGAATCACAGAGTTGGAAGAGACCTCCTGGGCCATCCTCCAGCCCAACCCCATTCTGCCAAGAAGCAGGAATATTGCATTCAAAGCACCCCTGACAGATGGCCATCCAGCCTCTGTTTCAAAGCTTCCAAAGAAGGAGCCTCCACCACACTCCCTCTGGGGCAGAGAGTTCCACCACTGAACAGCTCTCACAAACAGGAAGTTATAGAATCCTAGAGTTGGAAGAGACCTCCTGGCCCATCATCCAGTCCACCCCTATTCTGCCAAGAAGCAGGAATATTGCATTCAAATCACCCCTGACAGATGGCCATCCAGCCTCTGATCAAAAGCTTCCAAAGAAGGAGCCTCCACCACACTCTGGGGCAGAGAGTTCCACTGCTGAACGGCTCTCACAGTCAGGAAGTTATAGAATCATAGAATCCTAGAATCAAAGAGTTGGAAGAGACCTCCTGGGCCATCCAGTCCAACCCCATTCTGCCAAGAAGCAGGAATATTGCATTCAAATCACCCCTGACAGATGGCCATCCAGCCTCTGTTTAAAAGTTTCCAAAGGAGGAGCCTTCACCACACTCCCTCTGGGGCAGAGAGTTCCACTGCTGAACGGCTCTCACAGCCAGGAAGTTCTTCCTCATGTTCAGATGGAATCTCCTTCCTCTCTTGTAGTTTGAAGCCATTCCTCCATTGCGTCCTAGTCTCCAGGGAAGCAGAAAGGAAGCTTGCTCCCTCCTCCTCCCTGAGGCTTCCGCTCACATATTTATCCCAGTAACTACAACTCCCAAATGTCAGGGTCCTATTTTCCCCAAACTCCACCAGTGTTCACATTTGGGCATATGGAAGTGTTTGGTGAGCATTGACCTTGGGTTTGGGAGTTGTAGTTCACTAACATCCAGAGAGCACTTTGGACTCAACAATGATGGATGTGGATCAAACTTGACATGAATATTCCATATGCCCAAATATGGGGAAATAGACCTTGACATTTGGGAGTTGCAGTTACTGGGATTCACAGTTCATCTACAATCAAAGAGCATTCTGAACCCCACAAACGACAGATTTGGGGCAAACTTCCCACACAGAACCCCCATGACCAATAGAAAATACTTAAGGTCATCCAGTCCAACTCCCTTCACCAGGGCAAAAAAAACATAATCAAAGCCCTCCTGACAAAGAGCCATCCAGCCATAGATATAGATAGATAGATATGATTCACACACAGAGAGAGAGATAGTATCATGGATTTGAAAGGGACGGCTGAAGAAGGACAATGATATGTTGCATGTTCTAGAGTAGGCAAACCAGACACTCTTCCTCAGAGTCGTCTTTTCCTCACGATGCATTCCTTCCTTTCTTTCCGCAGAGAGGAACCTCAACCCCAAAGCAGCCTGCCTTAAGAGAAGGGAAGAAGAGAAGGTTTCTGCCGTATCGGCAGAGCCCCCGCCTCCGCACCCAGGAAGCCACCCTGGCCTTAGTGAAACTACAAACCCTATGGGTCACATGTGAGCACCAGCCAGGTAAGCCAAGGGCTCCTTCCGCTCCCGTCCGTCTTCCTTTCCACGTCTCGTACGGCTGCCTCGGGGCCACAATCCTCCCGTTCAAAGTAATGGCACTTCCTTGTGTGAGTTGGAATCAGTCTCTCCTCGCAATAATGGTCTTCGTGCCGTCACACCCAGAGCCTATAAAACTAAACTAAGATGCGCTTCTCTCTTTGTCTGGGCGGACCGCTGGGGTCTTTCTTTTTGGAAGCTTGAGATTTTCAGCAACGGAGGCTACTTCAGTCTTTAAACACCAATATTTATTGTATTGGTGTTGCATTGTATTTATTTATTTATTTATTTATTACTGCGCTTGTATACCGCCGTTTCTCAGCCTACATTGGCGACTCAACGCGGTTTACAACATTACAATAATCAACAATATTCAAGATAAAAAGCATAAAAAAAAAAGCATAAAAACACATACATAAAACACAATATTGGGCCACCAATAACAAACCAATGCATCTCTTAACTAAAATCGCAATCCAATTTCCTCGTCTGTGATTACCAATCCTTGATCATCAGATTCGTTGCACCGTGATTAACCGAATGCTTGTTCGAACATCCATGTCTTCAGTCTTTTTCGAAACACCATCAGCGAGGGGGCTGATCTTACCTCTATGGGGAGGGCATTCCAAAGCCGAGGGGCCACCACAGAAAAGGCCCTGTCTCTCGTCCCCGCCAGCCACACCTGTGAAGCAGGCGGGATAGAGAGCAGGGCCTCCCCAGAAGATCTTAGGGTCCTGGTGGGCTGATAGGCCGAGATACGTTCGGATAGATAGTTGGGCCAGAACCGTTTAGGGCTTTAAAGGCCAATGCCAGCACTTTGAATTGGGCCCCGGTAGCAGATCGGCAGCCAGTGGAGCTGGTGCAGCAGAGGAGTTGTATGCTCCCTGCGCTCCGCTCCAGTTAGTATCATGGCTGCCGCCCGTTGGACTAATTGGAGCTTCCGAGCCGTCTTCAAAGGCAACCCTACGTAGAGAGCGTTGCAGTAGTCTAAACGGGATGTAACCAGAGCGTGGACTACCGTGGCCAAGTCAGACTTCCCAAGGTACGGGCGCAGTTGGCGCACGAGTTTTAACTGTGCGAATGCTCCCCTGGTCACCGCCGAAACCTGGGGTTCCAGGCTCAGGTATTGTATTATCGAAGGCTTTCATGGCTGGAATCACTGGGTTGTTATAGGTTTTTTCAGGCTATATGGCCATGGTCTAGAGCAGTGGTTCTCAACCTTTCTAATTCCGTGACCCCTAAATAAAGTTCCTCATGTTATGGTGACCCCCAACCATATTTTTGTTGCTACTTCATAACGGTAATTTTGCTACTCTTATGAAGCATAGTGGAAATATCTGATATGCAGGATTATTTTCATTGTTACAAATTTAACATAATTAAAGCATAGTGATTGATCACAAAAGCAATATGCTTGGGGAGTATGGACAATGGATGATGGGATTTGTAGTACCTTCAACAGATTCAGCTCTGACTTCCACAGACCATTGAGACCCCCACAAATTATAGACCTCGAACAAACATGGCGAACAGAACCCCAATGACCAACAGCCTTCTGCCTCCCTCCTGCACCCTTCTCAGCTGAGAAAGGCACGGGGGTGGGGCAGAAAGGCTGAGGAGGAGCCGATCAGGAGTGCTAGCTTTTTGGCTGGCACAGGGGGTCGGCAGCCATTTTGTAGGAGGCGGGGCCATCCAAGGCACCTTCGCGACCCCCCAAAAATGGCCCAACGACCCCCCAGGGAGCCGCGACCCCCAGGTTGAGAACCGCTGGTGTAGAGGCATTCTCTCCTGACAATAAGCCCACCATATGGTTCAGAGATGTGGATGACACTTTCACCCTTTGGAGCCATGGAGAAGAAGAACTCAACAGGTTCCTGGGCCATCTGCACAGCATCCACCCATACATCCAGTTCACCATGGAAAAAGAAAATGGAGGAAGACGGCCTTTCCTAGATGTCCTCGTCATCCGCAAACCAGATCAACAATTGGGTCACACCGTTTACAGAAAACACACACACACAGATAGAGATCTGCACCAAAACTCCAACCATCACCCAAGTCCAAAAAGAAGCCCCATTAAAGCCTTGGCAGAGCGTGCAAAAAGAATCTGCGAAGCCCACCTCCTCCTCCAAGATGAATGGAACCCCCTCAACTGGGCTCTCCAGGCCAATGGAGACTCCGCCTCAGACATCAGAAGAGCTGCAAGACCACCGAGAAGAAGTCACGAGAGTCAAGACAAAGACCCACCCAGAGGGAAAGTGTTCTTGCCAGACATCAAGGGAACCACTGACCGCAGAGGGAAGCGGATGAGGAAACACAACATACAGTCAAGAGTGTGTAAAGCAAGTAACATGTTTGTGAATGTGAAACATTGAAAGTCTACTTCAGAAAAGTAAACCAAGCATATTATACTGACTGTAAGCCTCAAGATTGCAACAAATCACAAATGTAATCTCAAGCGTTGGAGCCAGAAGTTATAAATAAACTGTGTTACTTCGTTATACAGAAGTGTGTCTCAGGGCCTGTACAAAGGTTAAACAGCACACAGAAAGTCTCAGCTAATATGAAAGAAGAAACTGAATCATAAGAGTAAAGAGGTTTTTCTTAAAATAAATAGTCTCTCCCTCCCTCCTTACAATATAAATTGGTGGCAGTAATATTACGCTTCTTTACACTTGGCCTACCTGGTGTGATGCCTCCCTCCTTGCTGGCGGCCGTGGGTCATGCTAACCCTTTTCACATTGTCTCCCCAGAATTCCAGATTGACGGGGAGGAGGCCCAGGCGAAGGACCCTTTCTGCACAGGACACAGACTGGAAACCCCCCTCAACGAAGACGACGGCGCCCCGACCGGCAGGAGGAGGAGCACGAGGCCCCTCCGCCACCCTCCGCCACGGTGAAAGGAGCCACGAGGCTGGTGCCAGCACCTCTTTCCGCCCCGAGTGTGCGCCTCTTCCTCCTCCTCTTCCTCCTCTTCTTCCTCTTCCTCTTCCAAGCCGAGGCCCGCTGCTCCCGCACAATCAATCCGAGACTTGTTGCTCTCCTCCTCTCCACTTTCCGTGGAAGTTGCCTTGTGCCTAAACCGAATTGACAAACGCATTGTAACTGCAAATTCTTATTTATTTGTAGAGGTCTGCCTATGAAGAGCCAATGGGGGGGGGGGGCGGGGCAGCCGCCACGATGGTGGGCCGGCCGACCTCCGAAAGGGCACCTTGGGAGGAAAGCCATGCCCACCATTGACCCTTCTCCTTCCGGAGAGTATCTCTCAAAAGAGTGTCTTAAAAGGGCCGCCCTCTGCTCTCCCCCCGTTCCTCGAGGTCGATCAGCCCCCACGGTACCCCGGGTTACAGACAGATCTTTTCCATGCAAGCGGTGGGCAAAGAATCTGAGCATTGGGGGGGGGGCGGGGGGCCATGGGGGGGGTCTTAATGTCTCCACAGTCCCCTCCTCCCGGTCAGGAAAAGCCTCCTCAGCCCCACAGAAAGCACAAAATGTGTTGAAATGCAAGACAGACGCTTCATCCTTAGGTGCCGCCAGAAGTCTGGTTCAAACGTTCTTTGGGGTGAGGACCCTAGCCCCCCCCCCTTTGGATTGAGAAGAGAGAGGGGGGAGGAAAAGAGAAGGGCGCTTTGCTCCTGACACCCTCCCCCCCCCCATTGTGCCCTTCCATTCACAGTCTTCCATTGGAGGAGAGGAGTGGGAAGGGGCCGCCCATGCCTTTCCTCTCTCCTCTGCTTCTCTCTCTTCTTTCCCTGGGAGAAATCCTGACGCCTTCAGAAAGAACAAAAGCGGGGAGCGCCTCAGGTGGGGGCTCACCTGCAGCCACGGCCTCCTCTCCCTCCTCCTCCTCCTCCCTTTCAGTGCTTCCCAGGGAGCCTTGCACAGACTGCTGAGAGGAAGCGCTAGGGGCTCCTTTTCCTTCCTTCTTTCCTTCCTCCCCCTCCCCCCTCTTCCCTCCCTCCTTCTTCCTCTCCCTTCCTTTCCTTTCTTCCCTTCCTCCTCCCTCCTCCCTTCCTTCCTTCCTTCCTTCCTTCCTTCCTTCCTTCCTTCCTTCCTCCTCCCTCCTCTCCCCTTCCTTCCTTCCTTCCTTCCTCCTTCCTTCCTTCCTTCCTTCCTTCCTTCCTCCTCCTTCCTTCCTCCCTCCCTTCTTCCTTCCTTCCTTCCTTCCTTCCTTCCTTTCCCTTCCTTCCTTCCTTCCTTCCTTCTTCCTCCCTCCCTCCCTCCCTCCCTCCCTTCCTTCTTTCCTTCTTTCCTTCCTCCCTCCTTCCCTCCCTTCCTTCCTCCCTCCCTTCCTCCCTCCCTTCCTCCTTCCCCCCTCCCTTCCTTCCTTCCTTCTTTCCTCCCTCCCTCCTCCCTCCCTCCCTCCCTCCCTTCCTTCCTTCCTTCCTTCTTCTTTCCTTCCTTCCCTTCCTCCTTCCTTCTCTTCTTCTTCCCTCCCTCCCTCCATTCCTTCTTTCCTCTCTCCCTTCCCTCCCTCCCTCCCTCCCTTTCTCCTTCCCTCCCTCCCTCCTCCTTCCTTCCTTCTTTCTCCCTTCCTTCCCTTCCCTCCTTCCTTCTTTCTTTCTTCCTTCTCCCTTCCTTCCTTTCCTTCTCTTCCTTCTTTCCTCCCTCCCTCCCTCCTCTCCCTCCCTCCCTTCCTTCTTTCCTCTCTTCCCTTCCTCCCTCCTCCCTCCTTCCCTTCCTCCCTCCCTTTCCCTCCCTCCTTCCCTCCCTTCTTCTTCTCCTCTCTCCCTTCCCTCCCTCTCTCCCTCCCTCCCTTCCTCTTCCTCTCTCCCTTCCTCCCTCCCTTTCTCCCTCCTTCCCTCCTTCCTCTTTCCTCCTCCTTCCTCCCTCTCCTCCCTCCTCTCCCTCCCTCCCTCCCTCCCTTCCTCTCTTTCCTCCCTCCCTTCTGCCAGGCCTTTTCCTTTTCCTCGCTCGTGTGCTGTGTCCGGACTCTCTTTGGCTTTGCCGTTAACCCAGAAGCTTCCCTCACGAAATGGAAAGAAAAAGAGAGAGAGAGAGAGAGAGAGAGAGAGAGCAACTCAGAGAGAAAGAGAGAGAGAGAGAAAACATTTGGCTTATTTTTCACGGTAGCTAGTCTTTTATACAATAATCTTGTAAGAAAGTTTCTTGAATTCTAAATATTACTCTTTCTAGATTTTTGAAATCGAAAAAAAAAGTTTTCAGTAAAAAAAATATTTCTTACTTTATTTTACTATATTAGGTAGTAAAAAAAATGTAGGGTTATTGACCATAACCTGTTCATTAATCTCAGACATGTTACAATAGCCTTGTACGTAAGCGCATAGTAGGGTTCTAGCATCCTGTGTAGTCCCTTGGGGAGCCTTGTACGCGCTCCTCGTCCTGCGAGAGGAACGGCTTCTCCTCTCCTCTCGTCGCCCGGTTCAGTTCCCTTTGTGGGTGAATTGCCATTTGTACCCTAAGTCCAATCCCAAGGTGTGGCGGAAAACGCTTTTCCAACCAGCAGTACGAAAGGTTCAACACTCCTTTTTCTGTCAGAGGAACAGAAAAACACCATGTATATAACATTTATGTAGCAATAAATGTGCCATTTTTTTTAAAAAAAAGCATGTTGTCTATCTTCCCGGTCTGAGCACCTTTCTCGTCTCTGTTTGCAGAGGGAGGGAACGAAGGAAGGAAAGAGACAAGGAAGGATGGAACCAAAGAGCAAAGGAAACGAGGAAAGAAACAGGTAGAGAAGGAAGAAAGAAGAAGGAAAAGAAAAAGAGGGAGGGAAGGAACCATCCAGCCATAGATATAGATAGATATTAGGCTTGGGTAACCACGGAAAAATTTGGTTCTAAACTCGTTTTGTTTTTAGGGGGCCCTTGCGTTTCGTTTTTTTTAATAATTCCAAAAATTTCCTTTAAAAAATTTCGAAATTTACGAAATTTCGTAAAATTACGAATCGATTCGTTAATGGCGGACGAGATTGCGCAATATGCTAAAAAAACCTCCAAATGGGACAGGAGGAACTTCTGAAGCTTCCCTCTCTGTCGTGACCCAAGGAACACAGATTGTCTCAAACAGCAATTGAGATGTAAAATAATAGTCTTTTAATGAATAACAAACTTAATGAGGCACTTTAACAGCAGTGAAGGCAGTTCAAAAGGTGTTTTCAGGCAAGAACATAAACAGTAGATAATCCGGATATCTAGCAGGCTTGAATAGCAGCCAAAAATAAACAGGAGATACAAGAGCTTGTAGCAAAATGCAAAGCAAAATAGTCTCTAAGAAATACAAGGTTCAGAGCAAGGTCCGATAGGCAAATACGTAGTCCAGTCAATTCCAAGGTCAGGTAGCCAGGCGTAACACTCACGAACGAAGATTCCAAGGTCCGAAGGAACACGGCAGGGAAACAGGATACTGGGAATCCAAGCAAGGTTAGGCAGAGTAACAACAC